CTTGTAGACGTTTTTTTCTGTCACTGTTTTAACCACTTATTTGTGATTTTTAGGTACCTCTTTTTAACCATATCTATGTAATCTTAGCTTTATTTCCAACCACCTATTCCGGCTGTTTCGACCATTTATTTGTGTGTTTTTTAGCTCTTTCAGTCGTTTATCTGTGTTTTTTAGACATCAGAAGAATGAATGACTTTGAATATAGTGAATACAGGATTTTTACCCCTTTGTTTTTGTTTACACCCACATATTTACTTAAGCACAATTTCATTTAGTTATAATTCCTGACATGAAGGTTTAAATTCAGACATTTTTCATGACCACCATGTAGATGTAAAAACAAACGATCTCTTTATTTTAATGCCATTTATTTGAGCAACTTTCAACATTCACATCTACAAGTGAAACAGTGCAGTAACAAGTAAACTATACATCCAGTGATGAACAGCTAGTTATGGGCTCATCATACGAGGCCTGCTGGACGCACCAACAAACAACCACCAGGTGTGTGATGACAGGTGTGTGATGACAGGTGTGTGATGACAGGTGTGTTGACTTCGGCAGGTGAAGTAATAATAGTTCTTACTACAGGTGCAGCAAACACAGCGTTCACTTGTTGAACTCATTCTCATCCTGACGTGAATCTGGTTTTCTGTCGAGCGTCATCAGAAAACATTTTGGCCATAATCTGTAAAAACGAACGGCCGTGCGACGCTCATGAGCTGCTGTAGATTCAGCTTGTTAGCAGGCTAGCATTCATTAGCTGCCATTCGAGGACATTTTCTGTAGTTTCTGTGCAGTCGGTGAGGTCAGGAGTCGGTCTTATACAAGCTTAGTGAGATGAATGTGTAAAAACGCTCCCAGAGAGTCCAAACGTCATCCTGAATGTTGGACTTTTATCTCTTCTTCAGCATCAAGCTGCAGCTTTGGAGGATAAACAGACTTAAAACGGTCATGAGGTGGGTTTGCACTGTGTTGGTGTTGTTTGACATCTTTGGGCAGAATTTCACACCAATGTTTTAGCATGTTGCAGGATTGTGGTTTCTCTAGAGTCTCTGATGTCCAGAGGGTTTATTGTTCGCTTACGTCTTGTGTTTGAGGTAAATATTAACTGCTGATTCTATCATTTATCTGTGTAACCTTATATTTCAGCCATTTCTCTGTTGTATTTGACCTGTTACCAACTGTTTCAGCTGTTCTAATCATATTTTTCATCCATTTCTTTTAGCTAACCGGCACTTGGACCCAAACCGTGGAGGCTTGTTATTTAACCTCACCGACCAGTGGAGGCTGATGTCTGCCCTCCCAGAGCCTGGTTCTGATGGAGGTTTGGGTTTTGTTCTTTTTCCTGTTGAGAGCTGCTCAAAGGAAATCCAGAAGAAACTGTGGATTTGTTTCTACAGTTTGTATTTGAAGAGTTGATTTGCAGAAACAGATCCAGCTCCAGTTTGGTAGATTTTCAGAAAACTTGTTTTTTTGTTGTTTGCTTGAGAGAATATCAAACTGAGCTGAGTGGATTGACTCAGTAGAAATGGTGTGACACCAGAGATGACTGGTTTGACTGGTATTGTCTCAGGTAGACGATGGAAAAGTGGGTTTTCTGAAGATGGAGTTAGCTGATTTTGCAAACAAACTCTTCATTTCTTTATCTTAATTTGGGGTTTAGATGACGTGCATGGTGCCGTATGAGTATAAAATCAGGTTTGGTTTCAGTAGGATCATGTGCTGGACTATTTCCTGTCTGGGTTCAGTGACTTCCTGGATTTCCCAACAACCCTTGCTCATGACCAGACTCCAGAAAGTGACAGAAAACAGTCGGGCTGGACCCGAACATCTGAATATTCGGCCACTGTCATTTATGACATCCGAATATTCGCCGCCCCCCTCAGCGGTGTCGGATATTCGTCAACATCCGGCGCCGTACAGGTTTAAAATTAGGTTTGGTTTCACAACGATCCTGTCAGAATATTTGGACTCTGTGGTGGTTTTCAGATATCATTTTTGAGATCCTCGACGGTGCCGAATATTCGGATATTTGTCAGCAAATGGGCCCGAATATCTGGAGCCCAGAAATTGCTATGGTGACCAGCCCTAGAAAATAGTCCGGCAGGCGGATCACAACACCAGAGCGCAGCACAGATTATAAAGTGAGAGTCGCTGAAGTGGAGCCTCAGCAGATGTTTGCATCCAGAGTGAAACTGGCTTCCCTCCGAGGATCCAGAGTTCACTGGAATGTAATGGAAAAAAAGAAAAATGTCTCCCACACATCTGAAAGTTATCAGCCAACATGACATCATCTGAGCAAACAGGCGTGATGACATTATAGCGCTCAGGCAGAAACTACGGCGGAGGGAAGAGTCGACTCCTCGGATCTGAAATGACTTCAAATGTGAAACATCCAAACACGGAGTCGTTTCAAACGGCACATGGTCCAAATACAGAAACACAACAACAAAATAAAAGCTCCGAACAAAGAGCCGCGGGGGACATGTCGGCCTTTCAGCGCCCAGCGGCCACAGTTTAAGGGTTCAGGAGGGATCGCACACATGTCCTGGGTCGCTGTGTTTTGTTTTAGCTCATGAACAAAGAGCTGACGGGGAAGACTTAGAGGAGATACGAGGAGGAACGAGGAGGTGAAGAAGGTCGTAACGAGGCCAGAGCGGTTGGTCACGATCAACAGCTGGCTTCAATTTAAAGCTCACAAGAAAACTCTAAATGAACAGAGACGAGATGTTACGAACACGTTAAGAAGCAACGATTCATAAACGTCTTTAACTGTCAATTTAAAACAATTCACTGTTATTCTACAAACAGATACCGAGCATGTGAAGGACATGTGGCATCGCAAGAAATAGACATCTCAAGAGGTTGTTACCCGTACAAATAATTCACTGCATTAATTTATATGTTTACTGTAAGAAAAACAAACTGTGACGGTTTGGTCCATTCAGAATCAGTCATGTGGTTCTGGCTCCCTCTGCTGGTCACTACAAGCAAACATCAGCCACACAGCTGTTCAAACAACATGAGCGAAGTATGTGGACAGGTCAGTGTCACGCCTGGAATGAAAGTGTTGCTTTAACACGCCTTGTTTCAAATCTGTCCACCTGATTTCTCAACAGTCTAAAGATATTCAGTTCAGGCTAAGAAGAAAGCAGGAAGTCTTCATGTCTGACTGAACCAGCACACTTTCTGCGTCAGTGTATGGGACTCTTTTGTTTTCTGAGCTCTGCAGTAGGTTACTATGCCGACAATACCAGCGCAACGTAGACATGTCATCACACATGTACGAGCAGCAACTATGTGGACGACATCTATGGTACCAAAATGTAGGCGGATCCACAGGACATGGGGCTGTCCGGACGCTCTGCTGTCAGGCTCAGAGGGAAGGGTTGGTTCTGAGGCTGGTATCCGTCAGAGGTTTCCATCACAGGTGTTCCCTCCTGAACCTTGGGCACACAGCTGGACAGGTGATCCCCGGGTACCAGGTTGTACGACGGGTTGGGAAACACGCCTCTGAGCAGAGACGACGGTAAACCCGGCGGAGGCGGCGCGTCCGTGGAGGGTAAGATCAGGGGCGGCGGCTTGTCCTTCGTCAGGGGTTTGTTGTAGTAACCTTTGGGAGTCTGCGTGAAAGAAAAAGGCACGTTCTCGCCAACGTAGTCGTTCACCGGCACTCCAGGTTTACGGTGCAGCTCCGGAACGTTCATGGTGTCAGCTTCACTTTGGAGATCCAGGTGAAGACGCTGACAAGTAAGTTCACCCTGGAAAACAGATGGAAGAGTCAGAGATGGGTGGTGGCTGGGTCTGGACAAATCAGAGGATACTGTATGAATCCAATCATCTGTAGGAACCCCTGGAGGAACAGGTGATCTGTTTAAGGACGGATCAAACTTTTGGGCTTTTTCCAAATGTGAGAACCGCCTTGTTAAAACTGTTTTAGGTCTGAACATACCTACTGTGGGTAAGGTACTTCCTACTGACCCTACAAGACTACACTGTGAAAAATGAATGTTTTTCAAGAGTTTTTAACGATTTATTTGACAAAAAATTTACTGTTATTTTGGAGACTTTCCCATTTTTGTTAAATGACACATAACATTTAGTAAAAACTAGGTGACTTCTGCATCATCAGCTTTTTTCTGTAAATGTTCTGAAAGACGTAGAACTCTTTTCTTGTGACGATGATACAAAACGAATCCCACAGAATACTTTTCATATGAACGAGTTGGTGACAAAAATGAGGAAAAAAAGGAGAAATTTTTGTTGAACTTTCAGAACTGATTGAACAAGTTTGACAAGTTCTACCCCAGAAACGAAAATATTAGTAGACAGTCTGATTCAAGTAGAGTCACAAAATATAAGAATAAGAAAATGGATTTTTCTAATACGAGCACGTTTTTGTTTATTTTATTTTTGGACCCCACATAAAGATGGTTTGGAGGCGACTTATCATTTAATGTCTTCAGTTTACCTCAAAGCATCTCTTCCAATACGTAGGCCTGCAAAACACTGAGCTGAATATTCAAAGATGATTTTTCTTATTGTAGTTTGTTAGTTTCAAAAATGCTATCATGTGTTTCTTATATTAGAAATCTAAACCTGGCAGCTCGGAGATGGTCGAGCAGCAGTTGCTTTAAAAATTGGACTAACTGGGAATAGTCAAACTGTACATTCACATGCTGCACAACTGGGAGTGTAAATGTTGTATGACTGCTCTCACCAACGCAGTAACACTCCTGAGGATGAATAAAACCACCTACGACCCTTCAGGACTTACCGCTGGTGTCAACCAGTTGTCCATCAACACCGGCTTCGGGATCGGAGGATAGACTTTATTTTTGATGCTGTTAGATGGAAGAAGACACGAAAATGAATCTACAACAAAGATCTGGCGACAACAAAAGGCAAAGTGCATAAAAAGCTAAAGTGTGGTCATACCAGGCCCAGTGTCTGTAGCAGAGGACCGTCGTGACGATGAGGAGACCCGAAACCAAACCCAGAGCGACGAAGAAGGTCTTGAACAAATCATCAGCTGGTGAGGAAAGAAGTTCCAGGTGAGTAAATCAAACCAACCCTCTGTTTCCTGGAAATCAAATGGACGTTTCCAGTAGATTGTTGGTCTGAAAGGGGACAAATAAGCGCCATACTCAGAGAATTCAAGGTGGTGTCAATAGACGTGTTGCCACATTCTCCGAGCGCCGTCCGAGCCGCCACCGTGAACTTATACGAGGCGATTTTCAGGTTTCTTGCCGTCAGACTGGTGGCTTCAGGATCGTCTAAACCAGGAGGAAGTGGCAGAAATGACTAAGAAACAAACAGAACTCCAAGGACACCACGAGGAACTTCATGTTCAGTCAGAAGCTCTTTGTGTGGAGAGAAACACAATCAAGACATTTAGCTTCGTAAAGGTTTATCTTCAAACATCTTCTCTTGTGTGATGTTCAAGCTGATTTGCTTTAAAAATGTTATCATACTATATGGATATTTGTAAAGGTATTTGTGCAATTTTAGATTAATTTATCAAATGCTTCTTGAGATATATATCTTTCAAACTACCCGTCGACCCACTTTCAGCTTTTTTTTTTCCTGAAATTTGAGGCTGTTTGATCAACAACATCTGAGGAACTATTAGAGATAAAAACCTGAAACTTTCTCATCATGTCACTGATTCAGAATCTGTCATATTGGACAGTAGATCAGATAATCTCTGATTATGGGTCAGTTGCATGATAATAAAATCTGTCAAAACTGTAAATAACACTTTAAAGAATCCATATTTTTAGAGATGCTAATTTGGTTTTTTATGACGCTAACTGTAAAATTACACTTTTACTGCAGTTAAATCAGCCAAAAGTATCATTACAGATTTTTATTTTTGTTTATTGTAAGAAAAATGATGCACATTAAGGACAATAATACCAAAAACATCTCATATGAGTAAGTTATATTTGTAGAACCACGTTGAAACTCCAGAACCACCCATATTTTTACTTTATGTGCCACAACTTGTCAAATGTTCAATGCTAGAAAAAAACCTGCTAAAAGTGGGTCAGTGGGCAACTGGAAAAATTTAAAAAAAAAAATCTTGGAAAGCACGTGACATATCACTGTGAAAGTCAACAGACGCCATGATAATGACTGTAATGCTACCTGTGCTCACGTTGAACACCACGCCGTCACCGTCCTGGTTCCAGTAGTACAGAGTGTAGCCTCGGATGAAGACTGTCTGCCGTCTCAGAGGTATCGGCGCCCAGGAAATCTCCACGTCCGTCTTCTGCTGTTCGAACTTCAGCGATTCAAACAGCTTTTCTTCGATTACTGTCAAAGTGGGACATGGATGAAACACTTTCGGCTGCTTTGTGCCACCAACACCTTTCGTTAGAGGTCATGTGATTCAGTCTTACTTGTTTCTCGGACGTAGCCTTCCCTCCTCTCTAGAAGAACTGGAGCGCCCTCTGTGCAGGCGTATATGGACAACGAATACCTCAGTCCATCTTTAAAGTCTTCTGCAGTGGAGGAAGGACAGAAGTGTTGAAACACAAGTGAATGTGGTGTCACAGCAGGAACTGCTTTGTAGGCTAACATGAGGACATACTTGAAAATATAGTGGCATTGGTGTTGTTGGCAGGAACTTTGATCCACTCCACAGCATCACAGTCGAGGGTCGGACACCAGTCCACGATGTATCCACAGCTGGCTTCAGGACTGGAAGCCCAGGACAGCATGAAGCCACCGTTACTGCCAGTGATCCAGGAAGTGTTCACTCTGGTTCTGTCTGAAAGTGAAGACGTTCGAGTTGACATTAGAGACCAGAGGATGGCTTTGGTCATCACACCGCAGTGATTTATTACTGGAACATACGTTTGTTGAAATAATTGTATTAAAAAATGCTAATTTGCAGCATTTCATTCCTTTACAGGGCTTGTAGAAAAATAGTCACCCTCTGGTAGAACGTTCCAAGTTACTGAATGTCTCCTGGAGTCCAGTTAAATCCATCATGAAGAAAT